AGGAGGAGGGGGAGGAGGGGGAAGACCATCTTTAACAGCTGAATTCTCCTTCAATGGAGGAGGTGGTGGGGATGGAGGGGTAGAAGCTTGAACAGCTGACTTCTCCTTCAAAGGTGCAGGTGGAGGGGGTGGAGGAGGAGGAGTTGCAGAACATCGATCACTAACAGCTAGATCCTTCAAAGGTGGCATTGGTGGAGAAGGTGGATATGCACTAAGAGGTCCACCACCAATAGTTTGATTCTCCTTCAGTATTGATGAAGGACGAGGAGGTCGAGGAGGAGTATATGTAAAAGGTGCAGGAGGTCCAACTCCAGTTTTAGTAGCTAGATTATTAGGGGAAGATGAAGAATAAGATGGCTGTGATGCTGGAAGAAGATAGTTTGGAGGTGGTGGTGGTGTTGGAGGATTGGCAGCTCTATTTGTAGTGGAAGTCAAGGAAGATTGCCCTTGAGGAGGTGGAGATGCTCCTTCTGAGGGCACCAGTCGAATCTGTAGACCCCAATATGTGGGGCTGTTTGGGCTTGTGGGTGATCCTACACGGTTCATTTCCTCCCAAATCTTTTTAGGACTTGCTGCCCACTTTCGAGGGCTGATATTCAGACTGCCATTGGAATCACCCTCTGACTTTTCATGGACAATGTTTGATGCACTTATTTGTTGAAGCACATTGCGTGCAGCATCTGCTCTGTGATCTGTCCAGTCAACATGGTTAAAGATTTCATGAACTCTGGCAAATGCTTCCATTGGAAGGCCCTCCTTCTCCTCGAAGCAAGGGAAATCAACTGCAACAATGGAAGAAGCAGCATCCATCTCTGAGAAAATAATCTTCATCCAAAGACAGACTTTTCATTAGAGAAAAAGCACTACAAAACCATTAAATCAAATAATAGAAGGCAGAGATATCTACCTCTGCCCTGAAATCTTTAGCAAAAAGATCCTTGGCATCCCACAATGTATCAATGTCATCATGGTTGAGCATTAAAATGTTTGACCTAATAAAAGCTGTGTTAAATGCAACCCGAAACATCATCTCTTCTCTTTCCATGTCATTATTCAAGCTGATACACTCAACTACAATATCCCCTTGAATGCGGTTATTGATGTCAATTTTAACTAGCTCGCTTTCTTCCTGCAAGAAAATATTTGATTTAGACAATCCCACAATCCAGCTATTGAATCACTGATAAGGCATAACAGGTTCCTACACAAGATCTGGTGATAATTGAAATGTTGTGTAAATATGTTTGAGCACAAAGTAAAGAGCAATTCCACTGAAAGACAAAATAAACTTTCCAATAATTCAACTTATGCATGAATTAGAGCAAAAAAGTAAAGACCTTTTTGACAAGAAGTCGTATATTCCGTTACCAATCTCCAATAGCAGACCTCTTTCAAGTTATCATTATGAGGTTATGTAAAGTTCTTACATGTTAGATTTTAACTTCACAGAACCCACTACTACCACAAAAGAAAAGGCCCAAAAAAAAAAAACACCCTTGATTGGGAAAAGAAAACTCTCTGAAAACAATGACGTGTTTACTAACCTAAATATCACAGAGCTCTAAATATAAGAAATTAACAATGTTAGATGCATGGTTGCTTCTAGCCTGTCAATATCTATGTAGAATATCCAAATTCTCTTCCTCTACAAAGTGAGGTGGGAAGGGAAACTAAAACATAAGCTGAGAGTATATGAAGTCACCTGCTTGTAGTACCGGACAGCTTTACTTCTCTTTGGAGTTGAGTACAAAACTCTAGCATTTCGATCATTAACAAGAAAAGGATCCCGCCCATATATTCGAAATATTGGACGACAGCCCCCCTCTCCATCAAAATTAGGGATATATCTAAGGATGATGCAATCTAGGGTAAGAGCCCGATCAGAAGGAGGCCATTCAGAGGCTAGATTCCTCCTTGAGACATACTGCAGGTATCTCAATTGAGAAGGGATTGGATTGAGGGGTGACAGCAAGTGCAAAAGCTCACGGGGAGCTTGCTTGTAAATCATGTCCAAGGTTTTCTGTTCTCCACTACACTGCTTCCTATAAATCAAGAGTGCAGCAAGCACAAAAGCCAAGACAGGCCAACCACCACGCTCACAATGCATTATGAGCAAATTTTGCTGCCCAAGTTGGAGCCAACTTTCACAGGATCTCAAAAAATGGTGAAGCACCTCCATTGTGAGCAAAGGGCACCCCTCATATTGTCGAGGGTAATCCATTATAGTCATATCATGCTCAGATAATATGCTGCTCATCTGACTCTGTCCCTCTCCTTCACGGAAATTGAACAGCAAAAATGATGCATCTGGGAAGTGGTCTTGCAGTCGATTAACTATCCCTCTTATGTAAACTTCATAGTTTTCTTCTTCCTTAGCATCGGTAGTAAAGCAGATATCAAAGACTGTATCATACAATGCAGCAAAAGAAACCCATATCACACAGCATACACAGCTTATCAAGTCAGTTAACTAGTTATATCTTCAACCAAAATTGTAATTCATTAAAATTGAAAAACAAGAAGAAAAAAAAGTGTCAATGGAATTCATATTTAATCTAACGATTCGTGTTTTTAAATAAAATGAATAAAGGTGTGAACTTATGAGATCCCAATGAACATAATTGGAGAAATGGTGAAGAAGAAGATGGAAACACGCACCGTAAACTCGCTCGCAAATCTCAAGAAGGCCGTCCGGTGGTTTCTTATAGAACAGTTTCCGCAACAACGCCATTTCCTTCTCTCACCAAAAAGAGATAAACCGGCGCCAGAATCAGTAATCGGAATCAAACCCCAACCCAATACGACATTGCAATTAAGAGTTTGGCGATACCCAATTACCAATATTAAATCAAGCTTCGCTTCCGATTGAAGAAAACCCTTTTGGATGAAGATCCAAGGTTTTGAGTTTTTGTTGTGAAAATAATAGATTTGGAGTCAGCTGTTGTATCTCTGAGGGGGGATCAGAAGAAACGAAAAGGAAAGATGAGATTGTTAGCTGAATATTGCTGAGCTTTGTTCAGTTGGGTACGAGGCATGGCCTACAGCTTGCAACTGATCAATCGTGACCAACAAGAGTGCTCCCTTCTGACGTGGGCGCCGCCAGCCGCCGACACGTACATCCCAATCCCATTCATTCCCAATTCCAATTTCCAATCGCCAAAAAGCAAAATGGAAGTCATAAAGTTTCCTCGCCTTCCATATTTTATCAATCTGTTTTTTAACTATGTGATTGGAACAGCAAATTCGGAACAGCATCCTTGGAAGGCGGAATCTTCTTGATGGGTAGTTAAATCAAATTCTTTAGATATATGGAAAAATATCACCAAATTTGAACCAAAGTACAGATTTTTCTAGACCGCCAAACAAGAGATTCAGTATCATATCTTTCAACAACTACCCAAAAAAAGTAGTTCGGTTAATCATGATTCATTAACTTAATTTTAATCATAAAAGCTCCAAAGTTGATAACATTTTTATGTGGGTATATCTAATTATTTACTATTAGATTGATAAGGTTTGAGATTGGACTGTGAAATCCTATAAAGTTCAGGACTTTTTCTTAAGATTGGGATTGGGTATAAAACCTACCATCTAAACTGCAGAAAGTCCTTAGTCCTAACCATTAAACCTTGACCAATGTCACCTGTCACAGAGGTTGTTATTGGAAGAGATTAGTTGCAAACTTTTTTACCAAACTAAATTAAAGCAAAGAAGAAAAAACAGAGAGACAAAAATCAGAGGAGTTTTTTTGGTTGCTGGTTACAGTATCTGAACGTGGCTATGTGGAATTGGCGATTAATGAGGACAATAATGACGATGTGCCATGTTTACAATAAGGAGCGAAATTACACCCCATTTGATGAACTTGCCTCTGAAGAATCCCTTCCAATTACGTTTCTCAAAAAGGGCTATGCCTGATCATGCTTAATTTGAGCCTTCCTTTCATGGTCCAATCACTTTTGGTTCTTTCTTGTCTATTCGCCTTCACTTTTTGGGGACAAATTAGGTACGCAATTCCGGTTTCATACGCCTTCTTTCTAATGTTGAATACTTTTTTTTTAACTTTTTCAGATTATAAAGAAGAAAATGCTTAAAGAAGAAGTTTCTCAGGAATCCCCTGTTGAATTTTTGGCTCCAACAGGTTTTTCTGGACAACGACAATGTCCGCAAAGAAGATTTCCTCTTGAATTATAAAATCAAAACCACAGTCATATCTTCGCTGTGAATATTATATAGTCTTCAGTTCACTTCATAAACTGTCTGAAGTAGCCTGACCAAATTGGTCAGAAGTCTGATTTTGAACTATAATTTAGAACATCAGGATTAGTATAAAGTATAAACACGGCCGGCATCGGCAATTATTATGTCTTTGGATCTTCAAGAGCATCTTTTCAACAAATGAACTTAATGCTAGTTGATCTTGAACCTAATTAACATATTGTGTTACTACTAAACAATATAAATTGAGAAAGACACAAACACATACAGGTTCATTAATTGTTAAATAGATGTAAACACAAGTAAATGAAGTATTGGTCAAGCAAGTACTTGCGCATATTTTCCTGGTATAATGATTAGTAAATATGGATAGCAGGATTTGGTGTTGTTTGTGCAATGATGGGAAGATTTGGTACACCAAAAATGTGCATGAGATTCAGAGTTGGATTAGGTACTAGGTAATCTGATCTAAAACTCCCTCCTCATGAAACTAAGCTGGGACCAACCTTTTGGCAAAGCACTGCTGCATAAACTAAACTTTAGCTTTTGTAAGTTGTAACTGCTCACATGAATAGAGCATCTGTAATTCAAGGAGCGAATTTCGACTGAAAAAAGTAGGTCATCATATGACTCAAAAGAGAAAAGGGGTAGTAGTCAAAAAGATTAAAAAAAAAACAAAAAACAAAAAACAAAAATAGGGATAAGGATCCTAGTGATCAACTAGACTCTGCTAATGAGTCTTTAGTTCCAACTCAAGATGGAGAAGAAAATTGAATATGGGAATTGAGCAATCTAGTTCATTCCTCTATAATAAATTGGCAAACCTTTTACAACCCCAAAAAACACTAGCTCTCCTCTCTCTACGCTATGGAAATTAAGCAATTAACTTACACTTCTTTGCAAAAAGAAGCAGACTCTGTATACACAAACACAACCTCAAGTTTCATCACTTTATAAGGCCTTCCTGTTGTTTGATTGTATGCTCATCCTCTATCTTTTACTACCTAAAAACACCAAGGATGGCCATTGTACATCGAAAGGATAGGAAATCATATAATTGGAGGCGGTGGAGTCTCCCATATATCGAACACATTCTCTTCACTAAGCAATGCAAATAGGCGATCTCCTCCTATTGAGAAATCACATATTGAACCTCCATGGCTTCTCCGAAGCCTGGAGGTTAACACACAATCTGGACCGCAGAACACAGAGATGCAATCGTTCATGGAAGAGAATAATTGGCCCTCGTGCAGAGCCAGTTTTGGGTAACAAGACTCATCCGGCATTTTCCCCTTGTTCAATCTACTCCTGGAACTCCACCTTACACTCCCTCCACTCATTCTCAAATCAATAAACCCCAAATCCTCATACTCATTCACTACACAGATGGAGTTGCTCTCCTCCATTGCTATGGCATCTCTGACTCTCTTCTCATCAACAGTCACCGGAGCTTCGATGTCAGACCATGACCAAACCATTCTCTTCTCTCTAAAATCTAACATGCTAATGTAGCAGTTGTCTTTCCTAGGAAACAAAGTAGCAACTAACAAACAGTTTCTTCTATCCAACCATTGCAACTTATCTGCATCCCCGAGAGACCAACCGGGACTTTCATAGAAGAAATCTATCTGTTTTCCGGTGACCTGATCCCAAACCCCTACTCCGTATTCATTGCTCCTCCCTTTACAACTAGAGAAAATCTTGTAATCCGGGCTGAAACTCAGAGCTCCGGCGGCGTAACTCTTAACTTGATTGTCGTGAACAACATTGAATTTGTACCTCAACTCTCCCGTCGACGAGGTAAACAGCCCCATCCCGCCGTCTGCTGTTCCCAACCTCTCACAAGCACTGATTACGATACCATCTGTGTTGACCCAACCAATGTCGTTTACCCTCTGGTAATCGAGATTGATCGGCGGGTGCTCTTCTAACATCCAATCAAACACGTGCACCATGCTCCCATGGGCGACAGCACACCCGCCGTCCGGTCCTGCTCTGATGGCTGTCCCGTCGCCGGGAGCCCGACCCGTTACGGACCGGCAGAGGCTTAACCTGTTACCATCGAACGGACCCCATTTAGCAGATCGAACATGGTCACTTAGGCCATAAAACGCAGCTTCTCTGTACAGGAGCCTCTCTGGGACATTTGAGGGGATATGAAGATCGCTGGTACGGAGGAGGTCGAGAAGGATAGCAAAGCAGTCGGGATTCCGATCGATGAAGAATTCTTGGTTGTTGTTTGCGCGCAACAAATTCCAATTGTCGTCGAACAATGCCCCAAAGAATGAATCTCTGCCGGCGTTCCCCAGCGTGGTGGCCGTTGTTTCAAAGATTCTGCCCCCAACGTTGAATTTGATCCTGTCCTTCTGTATTCCCATGATTAGGTTTTTTGCCACAAAATAAAAACAGAAGATTACAAACAAGGGAAATATGACAAAATTCCTTAGATGTTCAAGAAATTATGGGATAATTTCGAACAATTGAGCTCAAAATCTTAATAAAAAAATAGATCAGACTGATCTTTGAATAACAAACCACTAAAAATGAAGGAGATGCTCAAATTTGAACCGGTAAACAGGGGAAAAGGATCAAAAGAGAAGAAATTCCATCAAAAGGAAGAAAATTGAGATCTGGGTAATACAGGAAGGAGGTTTTTAAACTTGGGTTTTGAATCTCTTGGGATTTGGTGACGAAGAATGCGAGAATTAGAGGTGTTTAATCCAAAAATTGGCTCTTTAACACTGTCTTTCTCTGTCTTCATTTTCCTCATTTTACATTTTTACATTACTTTCTCCGTGTTGCTCTGTCCGCTTTTGGTCTGGACACGGTGGACTGAGTGGGGGCTGAATGCGTAATGAATACTCCTAATCCCCAATCAAGGAGTCTGCGAGCGGGGTCCACTTCAGCATTTCCTGCTCCTCTTCTTTCCACCGTTGATTGTTCAAAAGTTCAAATCAGACGGTAAAGATATCATGGTTGAGCTTCACGATATCAAGTATTAGTAGTCTGAGGTGGGATCCAGTTCACCTTTTGCTTCACCTTTTTCTCCACCGTTGATCCCTTCATGGCACAAGTAATCAGATCTGACGGTAGATATATTATGGGTAGTGCTATTGCATATTGTTATATTTTTTTATATAATTTTCACATATCGTTAAATGAGTAAATGTATTTAATATCACAATTTTCATATAAATCAAATGAATTAATTATTTTAATAATACATCAAATTATACAAAAAAAATTATCCTAATAACATTTCTTATACATTATTGCGTGGGACATCCAAGGTCATGCAACGTCAGGTCGATCAACTAGAATGTTAAAATTATTAAAATTATAAAACATCATCTTTAAAAATATTAATTTTATTTAATGTAATTAATAAAAATAATTAATAATTAATAATTAATATTTATTAATTAATAAATTAA